CTTGTACAAGTGAAATACAACAATACCTGGAATTATCTTTGTGGCACTATTTACTCTTCAAACACCGATCTAATATGTAAACAGCTAGGATATAAACAAGGCGATACTTACAGTGATCCACGATTTTCTAATATAACAGGAGGGTATTGGAGAAATTATTTCATGTGTATGGGTAATGAACCCGTGCTGGATGTATGTTTACATGGAAACTGGACTTATGAAGCAAATTTCTGCCCCAGTACACATCCCATTTACTGTTATGGTTCAGGTAGCGTAACTTACTCTCCCGTGCCGAACAAAGTTTCTGGGGTGGTGGGGGTAGTGAAATGCGCTCCGTTTGTCCGTCGGTCCGTCCCTATTTAGTTTCTCGAACATATTTCGTAAACCGTTCAAGATATCTTTTTGAACTTTGTACACACATCAACCTATTAAAGTAGTTGCGCCTTTGGCTATTTAGGAATTTCTGGGATTTATAATTTTGTGCTTCCATGGAAAGAAATTTGACTTAGTTTTTGTGTACAATTTTGTTTCCGGAGCATATCTCATAAGTCATTCAAGATAAAACCTTCACGAAACTTTGTATAAACAACAACTTATTATAGTAGGTGTTTTTCTTTTTTGCTAATTTGGAATGTCTCGGATTTAACATGTTTTATGTTTCCATGGAAACAAATTTCTCTGTTGAATGATTTTGGAATTTCTACAACACATTTGACTTAGTTTGTAGTATATAATTATTATTCTAGAGCATATTTCAGAAACTGTTCAAGATAATGTAATGTAGCGCTGAAGAAAGTGAATATTGTTTAAACTCTGTTACGACATTGTCCTGTAGTAATGGTGATATCGCTGTACATCAAGGTAGTAACGCTACAAGCCAAGGTATAATATATTACAGCACTACAGCAAAATAGTGTGCCATGTGATCTAGAAACGCATAACAGGTTTCGTTCACAACACCTGTCAATGCTTTTAGCTAACTGTAGCAATGTGGATTTTAAACGCCATAGGGCTGTTGGATAGAAAATAACGTAGGTATAGTTTTTTCTGAATTACAACAAGGCTTGTAGTAAACTTGGAATGACTGCAACTTTCGGTGTAGTTATCTCTCTTTGTTTATATAACTCTTTCTCGGCCTTTTAATACAATACAATGCGAAGGTTATTTGGAAACAATCACATATTAATTCGTATTACTATGTTTACGTAATTGACTAAGTCCTTTTACCAGATAGCGTTCCTAACTGTCGAAGGTTCTTTTATGCCCACCACAATGTATTAACCATGTATTTTGTGCGTTTCCGCTGGAAAATAAGTTTCACCCATGCGTGTTTTAATAGTTCTGTTTTGAAATAAGAGTTGGTTTCTTTTAAAGTTGATTGAGCCGTAGTTGCTCAGTGAGTAAGGCGCCGGCTTTCTAACAAGGAGGTCGCGGATTGGCCAAGAAAGTTCCTTGTGATTTTCCGACGCGGCTTCCCCTTGTCAGAGCTGCTAGGCGGAGGACCTGGCAAGGGCCGTTTCTTGACATTTGAATGGGGCAAAAAAAAAAAGCCCGATGTAACGTGTAAATATTGACTTGCACGAAAAAGATCCCATGAAAGTCGTCAATAGTTCAGTCAGTGCAGAAAAGTAGAATAAAAAAACCCATTTCATTTCATTTATCAAAGTTGAGTTGGTCCTTTAATTATGAATCGTGCAATTATTACGATGCCCTGGATACCCTATTTCTGAAGTCATGTGATATTCATTCTACATGTAGGTCTAATCCCTTATTACTTTATTTTTTCAGGAGGAGAAGGAATTATGTCAATGATAGAAAACGAGTTGATTGATATCAGGAGCGAAGCTGTAGAAACTGTGGATGAAGCTAACGATGTAGTCAATAAAGTAGATGAATTATTAAGAAATATCCAAAATTAGATGCATCGATGCAAACCTTTACTGAAAAATTAAAAAGTATAGAAATGATGACATGGTTATGTTTTTAATATCTTCGTCCGTATACAGTACAGATTTCTTAAAACCGACAGTCAGCATATACAATTTAAGAAATGGTCCTACAGCCCAACCTATCCTCAAAATTAAACCACAGTTCGGGCATATCATTAATTTGTGTAAAGCACACAAATATATATGCCTTAAAGCTACGTTCCCAGAAAAGTATTTATCGAGTGGATATTTCCAATAAAAGTATGCCAATTTTGGTATATATGGGAAGTAGAAATATCCAATCTTACTAGAAAAATACTGGATTCCCTGAAAAACACTCTTGGAGCGCATACATGACAAAAGATGTAAGGGTTTCCCTAATCGACAGGCCGACCCTTAGGAGTGTCTGCACGTGTGACGTCGAAGGTTGAACGCGGAGATTGAGCGCTTGATGTACATGTTGATAAACTTTATGAAGAATTAGACGTACAACACTTTCTGAGATAAAATTCACGGAAAGAGATGTGGGCGGTGGATAATCCGAGAATTTAATTAGGCTTCGATATTTGTAATAAATTGTCAGAGATTAAAGACAACATCGTCTTGTGTACGCAATGAATTCTCCTCCTACTTCTTATCGGTACCGAGAGGGGTAAGTCACGTGACACAAAGATGACCTTATTTGATCGATTTTTTATAGCCAGGGTATTCCCGACAATTGAAGCAAAATTATGATAAATCAATTAGTCTGAATATGTTTTTAGTCCAAATATATCATCAAATCTCCCAGTTGGTACCCGGAAATGTATCTTTAATAAAGTTGAAATGTGTTATGCACCTAATAATTCCGCCAATTTATGTAAAACCTGCAAAAATGATTGTTTGGTATTGAATGCCATACTAAAAGTTACCAAAATCGGGATACTGGAAAATCTGAAATTTTCAGGGTAAACTCTTAGTTTTTGTTAAGTCGTTTTCGTGAAATCTCATAAAAGCATAAAGACGTCAATTTTTCAGAGAAACAAACGGTTTTCATAGATTTCCGATGCTTCCTTCTATCATTTTGACATATTTGGCACTGTATCGTCATGAAATGGCAAATTTGGTAATTCTTTCTTTTGTAGATACCTATTTGTATTAACTGGTCTATTATACCATTTTCACCTGTACACCTACCACATAACCTGCGACTGAAAACGTAAATTTACGAAAAATATTGCAAATTTGGTATCTGAACTAATGTTTTTGGGGTCAATATTTAATTTGAAGATTTAACTGGTTACTTAATACTATTTTCGGACAGTACAAGGTTATAGTATGCATCATATTTACTATAATACAATCGTAAAGCCCCTTAGAAAAAGCTGCTGCTTTATGTGATGAATTGGAGTTAAGAGGAAGTTACAATGTGTGCATGTATCTTCAGATGAGGATGTCGACATAGTATAGGCAGCTACCGAAGCGGTAGTATAGAGTTGCTTTCAACGACATTGATTGTGGAGGGCACTATGGAAGCCTATATGATACCTCAATATTAAATTGGTAGTATGTTAACATTATTGTGGCTGTGCGTTCATGAACTATCATGATAATATTTTCTGGGCGGTTTACAAGACCTATAAGATGACAACCACCAAAAGACATGGCGTAATAGTACTTATAAATCTATAACGTTAAATCCCTTTGATCTTTGGGGTATAGTCTATGGCCGGAATAACTTGCGGTCTGAAAGTCGGGGGCGACTTTGGATATATACAGTGGAATTTGGGATTATTCTTCTGAAAGATTTTCTTTAAACCTGTAACAGGTTATTCTTCCAAGGAAGGTTTTTATTTTCCTTATGAAAACATGATATCAGGTTTTTCTTACTGGAATTCTGTGATATTCTCATTGTACGTACATGTACACATAGACGGTTTATAAGCAAGATAAAGTCCTCGACTGGGGAAGAAAGACCTCAAAAAAAAAACCGCTAGAAAAACCTCGGCTTGCTGGCCTCGTTTTTTCTTTTTCTCGGGTTACTTTCTTCAGTCTTTCTTTTCCCAGCATAACCTCAGTCTCGTGCTTTATCCTACATATCATAAACAGTTCATATTGCGTCATTGTAATGTCAGGCGTAAATATATGGCTAAATAACGTCATACTACGTTTAATGTGCTCATTTGGCATTTTGATAATCCTATTCCTATTATGCTCAAAAACGAAAGTGGAAGTTTTAAAAAATAATACGGAGTGATAAAACTGTTTTTCATTTTAGCCGGTGGTAAACACAAGTGGTAAATTAAGAAGCTCAGGTCCAGGCATAAAAAAATAACAACAGCTATACACCAACCTTAACACGTGCTAAACACGAGACTAGTATTCAGCGATGTAGCGTAACACCTTTAAAGCTTAATCTGTGCCCTAAAATATAACTCCAGTTAAACACTATCATTAACCCGAGTTACATATATGTGCTAGTCTAGTGTTGAACAAGTGTTGGCTTTTGTCGAGTTGACGTTAAACCCTATTTCTCTCGCGGAAGCCGAGATGGCTCAATAAGTAAGGCACTGGCTCGCTAATCATGGCTCGCTAACCAGTACTGGTCTTGTGTTCGATATAGTTGTTGGCTGAGAAACTTTTCACAAAAAAAGAACACTTGAAATAAGAGTAGGCCGTAGCGCCGCAGTCCGGGCATACTTGCATGGCGTTTGCATGTCTTCATCACCCGGTTGCTGCAGAAAAAAAGGACGTTAAACCCCATTTATTTAATTTATTTATTAGCAGTAGGATAAAAATAAAAAGTGTGATGATATTTCTTACTAATATTTCCCCTTTTTATCGGCTAGGAAATTCACCACTTTTAAAATCATTTAATAAGAGCATTGACCTAATCTGACTTGTTTGCTCATCTAGATTAACATTTGCTAAAAAGGTGTCAAAATTGCGTCGAGATTAAAATTGTATCACAAGATAAGAGATACCCTACATAATCAGAATCTATATATAGAAAACAATATCAGGAACATGCATGATTTTCTCCACGGAAGAGTATAAAAGTCAACTGGAATTGTAAGCTTACCCCATTGCCTAAACATCAGACAATCTGTAAGTATTTCTAAATGTTCCCTCCAATCTTATAAAATGTTGTTTAGTTAATTTCTTAAATCTCGATCGACCATTGAATTCTTTCTAGGATATTAACGCGAATCGACGTACTTGTAATTTTTGTTGTTATTCCAATTTTCGAAATTTAGTCATCGTAACATACAAAAAAAGTGCAAACCATTTTACCCCGCCGTCTAAAACAGGGCAACTCTTATTATGTCGTTTTTATTCAAATATAATTCACACTGACATAACCAGCTAATTCAGCACCAGTGAGATTTCAATTGATCTTTTAGATCTTGAAACTGAACGTATATCATTTAAAACGGGTATAAATGAAAATCACACGAATGTAACCACATTATTTATTTTTGTTGTAGAAAGCAACAATGAAATATTTTGCCATTCTAACCATTGCTCTTGTCTTAACTGGGGCCAACGCCGGCTTCTTGGATTCATTCAAATCCACTCTTAGTTCCATTGGTGATAACATCAAAAACGTATACAATGGAGTTAAGCCCCTTCTCAGCAGTGCTGTTAGTAAACTTGTCGGAGAATTGAAAACAACTGGATCCCAAATCTTAGCCCAGGGTGCACAAGGTAATTACTTCAAGTTCTATTGACGTGTTGACTTAAAAGTGATATCATTCTAGCAAAATTTGGCACACGGTTACATTGAATTTTCCGTTATTACTAATGTGAAATGACTCCGAACTGATTTAACATCACATACGTCTGTAGGCTTCCTCACATTCTTATTCCAGCTCTTCTTGGTAGTCTTTCTGGAGGCACAACCACCACCCGTGATGTTGCGTAAGTATAACAGAACAACACCATCAAAAACTAATTCTGTCTTCTGAAATGTTACTTGTTTTTAACCAGAGTATCCAATGATAAGTTATCGACAAGGTACAACCTGGGCCCTTATTCACGAAAACTTAAACTAAGATACAATCGAAATTTTAAGAAATACTGCAATTCGATTGGCTGACCAGTACAATCAATTTGCATATATCCAATTTGCATATTGGTCAGCCAATCGAATTGCAGTATTTCTTAAAATTTCGATTGTATCTTAGTTTAAGTTTTCGTGAATAAGGGCCCTTTCTGTTGAAATTAATTTTTAATCTAAAACTAATTGCCAAGATATTTTCGAAGCAGAGTATCCTTATTCTATGTAAAACACTGATACTATTTTGCTAATTGGGATTTGAGTATTGTGATGTCCACAGTATATTCACTCGACGTTTGGGTTTTCTTTAATGAATTTAGTATTAATCACATTAGCTTTATATTATTTACAGTCTTCTTGATAAAGTTGGCCAATTCGTCAAGAATGGCGAAGATATGATCTCAACTCTCTCCCACACCATTGGAAATCTTTTCAACGGTGCTGTTGCCAAGCTCACCGATTTAGCAGGAAAACTTGGAAACGCACAACTCTTCGGACAACCCATCAGCAAATTCATCAGTGAAATCGAAGAAGTTGTTTGTAAGTAATAAAAGAGAATTTTCCTTGTATGCTTATTGGTGTTTGTGAATAGTTATGCATCCATAAAATTTCAATTTTTTATTTTTAATAGAAAAACAAAACAAAGGGTTAATCGTGAATGTTTATCTTTTGTAGCAAGCCACAACCTTCTCCAGAGCTCCATCCTTAAACAATTGATTGAACAACCAGCTAAATTGTTGTCAAGTGCTGCCCAACATCTAATGGGACACAAGAGAAGTGCAATCAGTGATCTTTTGTCCTCTATCGGACAAACATTGGCCTCCACCTTCAAGCCAGCCATTGATACCGTCACCAAGGTAATCAAATATTATGTAATATCCAAAAATTTGAGATTCTGTTATGCATTTATTATAAAGCGGACGGGCCTTTATGGTAATATGGTGAAAACTGTCTCAATTCGAGAGCAGTCAAATGTGTTGTTATATACGACAAGGATCTAAAATGTTGATACATATCTAGATGTGAAAAGTTTGTATGCTAATTACGTTCGTAATGGATCTTCAACATATGTAATGCCATATAGGGGGTTTACAGCCCATAGAAAAGTGAACACACAGAATAGGACATATTTGAGACTAAAGCTTGCTACAATTTATTTTATTTTGTGTCTTGTAGCACATTACCAATTTGGGAGCAACTTTGAAAAATGCCGGTACCGCTCTTTTCGGAGCCGTCAAGCCCACCATTGATGCTTTGACTGGAAAACTCACCGATCACGTCAACAACTTGAAACAAGTCGGAACTGAACTTTTAGGACATGGAAAGAATGCCCTCAGTGCTCTCACTGATGCTGTTACTGATATTCTTGGTAAGATGGAACAAATTTTTAAATTACGTTAATTCCTCTATTTTCTTATATATTATTGCCTGTGAATTGCATACTACCATGACAAATTTTATTGTAACTTGTATTCTTATGGTTGTCGTTAATTATTTCCCCATGTTTACTTCAGGACAAACCTTCCACAACGCCCAACCCACCATCCAGAAAGCTATCGACACCGCCAAACAAGCAGGTAAAGATACCATTGGCACCCTTTTGGGAGGAGGAAACTAAAAAATAAATTAGTTGCTTAATATCTTCAGTGTTTTGTCTTCTATTTGTCAAGAGATAAATGACGCATGTGATATATCACCATAAACGGTTTTTTAAGTCTGAATACGTGCCTGGAGAAGTTGAATTTTTATGCGGTGGCATAATGCTCATTATGGAACTTGATCAAGGTATGGATGCAATAAAACTGTACAACAAGTTTCACCAGTCTCACCGAATGAGAATCAATTTTATCGTGTCCCAAATCCAATTGTTTATCTATGTTTAACCTGAGGAGAAAATGATCACCATCGAACTCAGTCAAGAGATTCGATTGATGAAGATCTGCACCTTAGTAGAAAAAGAGCCGTTGAGCATAATTAGTCATGGAATTGCAAATGAAACTAAAAACCAAATTTCATCACTTTCAAAGATATCGTGCTCCAAACAATCGAATTGCTTTTCACTCGCTTTACCCCGAGAAGAAAATGTCGACCACCATATCAAACATCTTCACCAACATTCTACTTGAGTCATTGAGTTTTAAAAAAAAGTATGATAGGCAGGTAGCCAGGTCGGAAGACAACACCAGAAAACCAAGGCTGTTTAATGTTGACTAGACATTGCGTAAGAGCGACCGACGACATAGGTGGATATTTTGAGGTAATGCCGAATAATAGATACTTTAACGATGAAAAGTCACAATTAGCCGCCTTTTGAGGTGGCGTAAATCTGTTGCATAGTACAATGTACCCACCTTCCATGTAAAAATGGGTTTGGGTTTTGATCATGTTGGTACGGAACCCTTATTTCTACGAATTCCATGTAATGAATAGGCATTCATTATCTGTATTTAACCAGAGCACCGAACTGAATGGTGATAAGAGAGTGTTTTAAGTTGTACTACCTACAGCTGCACCATTCATTAAAATATACCGTGATGTTCTTGTGTTCTTTAACATGAAAGGACTAATAAAAGAAATGTGCAATTTATAATACTTCGGGGTGTTGGGTGGCCGAATGGTTAGCGCGTGCGCGTTGTATGATAAGGTCTGCCATTGAGTCAACTGGCGTGGTTTCGATTCCCTGTTGTAAGTGACAAGGAGTAGGGTCGCCCGGGTACTCCGGTTTCCTCCCACTGCTAAAGACCCCTACGCGCAATCAAATTATTGAAATAAAATTGAACCCGAAAAATGACCTAGTTTGTGTCCTCTCTATCTTATAATACTTAATTTCGCAAAACAAAACAAATTGAAATATTCGGATGGATGAACAGAAATGCCAGTAAACAATAAAATAGCAACTCGAATCAATAAGATGCATTTAATATTTAATAACAAGTCATTTCACTGTGACGGGTTATAAACAATAGAACTAACCATCTGACTGTGTACTCCATGGTAAATTAACTATTGTCGTCGCGCCTTTCCTGTTTCTTTACTCTACAGTATTTGAAGAAATTCACGGTAAATAAATCGTTAATCCCTTTATTGATTTATGGGTCTTTTTTAATGGCATGGAAACTTCTATCTTTGTTCCTTGTTAATGTTAAATACATGACTTGTACTGCCTGAAAACGATTTTAACATGAAATGCAGATTTAAAGAACAATGTTAAATCAATTTTACATTATGCGTTAGAAATGTTTAAAGGAGCCAAGTCTCTAACTCAATATTTTCCATAATATTCGAAAATTAAAAACAAAAATTAGCATTCAATATTGATCCATTTCAATCCATATTAATGTTATGTTGCCGTGAAAATGTGGGATCCTAATATTTAAGACACAGTGAACGTTTTAAAGTATTAAACACGAGCCGTGTACCATATCGTGTACCATATGATAAAATAATATAAAAAAAAACGTGCAGAAGGGGCTAATTAGGCGTAAACGATTGTTGTTCAGTTTGGTCTGTTCGCATATTTCACCGAACATAATTGATTAGAAATTACAATTCTTTTTTAAAGAAATGAATATAAATCACTTTACATGTATATACACTCATATGACATTAATATGTGTTATTAGTCCCATTTATGTTCCCAAAAAGAGATACATGCGCCCTTTAAAGAGCTTCCAAATATACGTAGAAATCTTTGCTTAGGTTGAACCGTAGCAACGACTTGAAAATGCCGGAATAGACGCAAAAAAACGGAAAAAAACGGCTGAAAAAGAGAACGGTAATGGTTGCACGAACTGATAATTGCCCTGAAGACGAAATGTTGTTTTGTAAGACGTTGAGATGATAACTGTTCGAAATCCACAATTTATAAGACCGAATATTGTGACACTATCGGGTGTCACACCATCCTGTGATAAGTCTGCTAAATAGGGACTGTAAGACTATTCGAGTTACGGTCACCAAATAACGAATGTGACTATTTTATTCTAACATAACGTTGTGTGCACAAAAACAAAAGGCTGGAACAGTAGTTTTAGTAATAATAATAATATGCGTTTGTATAACAGAATACATCTCAAATGCACAGTTTATAACAGCGAAGATTATACGTATAAAAACATAATCCAAACATCAACAATACTACTAACAGACACACTGCGCCACTCACCATAATTTATTTGGGGGGTAATGAACTAACCCAAACAAGCTGTCCCTTCTAGAAAGCTCACCCAAACACATGAAGACAACTGTATGGTTTAAGCTATTACTTTAATCTAGCTTTAGTAATATATTACTAACATACCAAGGTTAACATTATGCCAAATAAAAATATATAGGTAAGGATCACAATACAGCATAACATTACTTTTTTAAATAGCATTCTCACTTATTTTTTCGTGACAGGTGCAACAGTAACCCATACATTTATAAATTCTACGACTAGCCACAATTCTTATATGGCTACCCCCATGCGTAAATCGACACACGCTATAGATACAAGGGTGGCCAATAATTGTGACCAACATAGCTATCTAGTTTCGTTAGTAGACCAGTTTATATTTGTCTTATAGCTGAGACTAATTTTTGAAGAACTTTGAAAAACTCCGGAACTGCCTATGGCTTGGTAATATTTTAATAATTGTTAATTTATGTTGCCTAAATTATAAATTATGTTTTCAATCTCAATCACTTATAGTCTTTCACCCCTTTCCCACCTGTTAGGTGACGAAAAATTGGTGAAAATTTAGAGCTTGCCAAAGAGACGAGAATTAACAATATATGGACAGTGGAAACTTACCACCAGAAGTGTCACACGTATTTTTTTGTTATTAACCCAGAATTAAATGTTTACCAAATTATAGCTATTTTTATGTGTCTACCCGTCACTCATTATTTTTGGGCGTGAGATCACTTCTCTACAAGAATAAAACCCAATAATTTGTTGAAAATATAATATAATGCTGTCACGAATTTAAAGAGTAAAAATACTACCAATAGTCTTACATATCTCCTGCCATCCAGGAGCTGATGATAAGTTCGAGAGCAACCATCTATACCACACTGTTGAACATGTCTGCAATTCTTAGCATGATGAGATAAAGTTAAGCAGCGAAAACAAATTATTGTCCTTAGCAAATCTCCATCTCTGATGTACATACAGGACACTTTAAATAAAAACTTGAATTTGTATTATTTGTAGCGAATTCGGTCTGGTGGATCAAATCCAGTTTTATTATGCGATGTGGCTTTTGGAGAACAGAAACCGTCTACCCTTCTTCGGCTTCAATGCGATATTTCACGTCTGATGATAACCATAAATGTAAACTAACTAAATTCTCTTCTTTCTTTTCTGATGCTGACGATCTCTTGAAGTGTGCTATAGTAACTGGTGATTTGGTTTGTCTAAACTGTAAAACACTGAATCTTCTTGAAATTCTATCGGTAAATTGTTCAACACTTTTCAAATCATTGCACATGTTAGGTTTCATCGGTGTAACTGCATCGAGGTGCAATAAAACCCTTCGCATTTTACCACCATATTTTTCATATAATCTTCTTCTGGCAGAATTATATCCCACGGTAGTCGCAGGAAATCCATCTACGACCTTTTAAGAGCCTCTCTATCCAAGTATTGGCGTAACTGTCACATTTTATAACCATCACATCAATGTACCCTATCGATGCATTGGTCGAAGGTATCTTTGAACAATGGATATTCTTTTTTATTTCCTATGAACTTTAGAATGGCGACTTTTTGTAACTATTAGTGCATATTTCTTTCGATTTCATATTTTGGTGGATTTGGTCGATTTCTGTAATTGAAATTAGGTTGACTATTATTTAGAGTTGTCTTCCTTTGAGTCATTTCTACAGGACTAGGCCCTTCATTGCGAATGCTTACTTTCATCAACGATAAATAATATGTACATTTACTGACGATATCATTTATTTGAGAGATATCATTAATACGACTAATTCTGTTTCATATTTATCTGAATCGATATCACACAAGGCTTCTAAGACATTGAAAACACGAATTATTTGTCAATTTAAATCAACATTGATGTTGTGATCTTACCGGGAAAAGATGGGCTTCTGATATCCAATATTTAAGACAAAATGAACATTTTACCATTGGTACACGAATCGTGTACCACAATGCGTTTCAGGCCTATTCTAACAAGGGACTCGAAGAACGAGGATAGACATTAAAAAAGTCATGTCAAACGGTGACGGCATATTCATATCGGGAGAGTATGCGCAATAAATACTATGTAGACTACAATACCCAGACGCTAGAAATTTTCATTCGATTGAGACTTCTGACATGTTTCGCCGAACGTAACTGATTTGAAATTAGAGTAAAAATGGAAACGATTGAATGTAAATCAGTTTATATATATTCCTATTACATTATTATATGCGTTCCGACCCATTTGTGTCAATTTTAAGGTCCAAAATATTAGCGATTTAGCTCCGTTAAATTGCAGTAGTACTTAATAAAGGATAAAATATACATTTAATGGTTATAGCATATACTCTATATTTTACCAATGGATATGAGGATTAACCACAAATAGTGCACGCAATCTGAATAGTCGACATAATGTAGTTGACTGTTCGGTTAGCCTATCTAATATCGGGTTTTATTTCCATTGGAAGTTTAAGTTTAATTACCACTTTGTTCATGATTAACTTGATCATTAAGGATTTTATTTTTCAGTTGTGTGCACCATTTGCCCGACATTAAAAATTGTTTATTCTATAAAAAAACATGTTGCATAAAAGAAAAATCAATTTTCATACGCCAAAACTTTGTTTGTGGATACTCTACAGGTCACAATTTTTGTGAGATTTTGACGAAACTTGAAATGAAGGTCTATCTCCCACAGATCTCGGTTCCTTTCAAAATTAGCATATATTGGCCCATAAATCGCGTTTTTAGCTTGTGGTACCTCTAGATGTCAGAATTGTTATCCGATTAACTTTCGAATACATCACCGTTGCACCATAATGTTGGTTGAGTTTGAATTTCGTGAAAATCGGACCACAACTGCCGGAATGTGTAAAAATAGTGTAAAAATGTGGTATATCAAGGTTGTTGACCCTTTAGAGGTCACAATTTTCATTCGGTTTTGATGAAAATTAAAATGCATGTTTATAACCCAAAGATCTTGGTTCCCCCATTGATATACGCGCATATCGGATTGTAACTTCCTGAATTATGGCCCTTGGCTGTATGGGAAATCGCGTTTTGAGCTTGTGGTCCCTCTAATGGTCACAATTTTTATCCGATTGAAAAACAAAACTTTTGAATATATCACCGTTACACCATAATGTAGGCTGAGTACGAATTGCGTGCAAATAGTGTAAAAATATGGTATATATCAAGGTTGTTGTCCCTCTAGATGTCCCAATTTTGACCCGATTGTGATGAAACTTGAAATGCATATTTATAGCCCAAAGATATTGGTTCCTTTCGATATTTGCTCATATCGGATATTAACGTCCTGAATTATGGCCCTTGATTGTTTGAGAAATCGCGTTTTTCGCTTGGGATCCTTCTATAGGCCACAATTTTTATCCGATTTAGAAAAAAAAACCTTTTGAATATATCACCGTTACACCATAATGTATTGAGTAATGTGATGTAATGAGTACGAATTTCGTGTAAATCGGAATAAGACTGCCTGACAAAATGGCTGCCCCACGAACAAAAAATGGTGTAAAAAATGTTGTATATCAAGGTTGTGGATCCTCTAGAGGTCACAATTTTAATCCGATTGTGATGAAACTTTAGATTTATGTGTATATCACAAATACAGCGTTTCCCGTCGATAATCACGCATATCTGAACGTAACTTCCTGGATTATGGCCCCTGATTGTACGAAAAATCGTGTTTCTTAGCTTGTGGATCCTCTAGAGGTCACAATTTTTATCCGATTTTAATAACCGTTTGAATATATTACCGGTCCACCATAATGAAGGTTGAGTTAGAATTTTAGGATGATATTTACCAGTTTTGTCACGTGACACATACACTGTTCAAGTTAACGTTACAAGGCTCAAGACCTCTTTTAGACCAAAAATAAACGTGTCTATTTGTTTGAGCATTATGTGTCGATTTGTTATTTATGGGATGAAAATCTTTATCAGACTTTGTGTTCAATAGTCGGAATAAATTGAACAGAATTAACATACACTACGTATGTATATCAGAATTGTACGAAAACCAGTTCTTGATTCCAAAGAGTTTTTGCTATTATGAACATACTTATATTTTATAATTATTTAAAGCTCATTATTTAGATAAGGAAAAGGAAAACAATTTTGAAATATTTAAATAAATATTTTATTATTCTACTTTAAAACATTTAGTTTCCTCCTCCCAAAAGGGTACCAATGGTATCCTTGCCGGCTTGTTTGGCGGTATCAATGGCTTTTTGGATGGTGGGCTGGGCGTTGTGGAAGGTTTGTCCTGTAATACAATAAAACAATATATACCATTAAGTAAAACAGAATTACGGTTGCCCATGTGTGCAATGACAAATTCTGAAATGTTCAGACGGATTTATTAATGAAATAGATTGAGGTAATATACCTGTTATTATAGGATGGACATACAGTTCACTTTTCTACAATTTCCTGCTGACATGACCTGTTATACATGCTTACTTTTCAATTGATGCCGGCCGTATCCATTGCACCTTAGAGCATTTGAACCCACGATATACTGGTTAAGTGGTGAATCCAGTATATTACTTAAACGTCTTTACTTTTGAACTCAATATACAAATTACCAGTTTTTAAAGTATGTTTCCTCAAAACAGATTTAGCAAAACACTTACCAAGAATATCAGTAACAGCATCAGTGAGAGCACTGAGGGCATCCTTTCCATGTCCTAAAAGTTCAGTTCCGACTTGTTTTAAGTTGTTGACGTGATTGGTGAGTTTTCCAGTCAAAGCATCAATGGTGGGCTTGACGGCTCCGAAAAGAGCGGTGCCGGCGTTTTTCAAAGTTGATCCCAAATTAGTGATGTGCTATATCACAAATAATGATAAAAAGGTTAGAAAAATAAATAAGAATTGTGCACTAAAAAACAAAAAAAGACAGCTATAAGAAGGAATGAAATTTGATCATATTGCACACTAAAATACCTGATATTGCTAAACAAAAAATAAGCCTTTTGATAAAATATTAAAAGGATTAGGAATCTGGTATTATATACATTAAAGGAGCTAAACATCTTGGATTTATGTCAAAATAAAGTACTGGCTTCATCTTTAGATGCAACACTTCAAGAGAAATTATCATATCATTGAAATCCAAAGAGTCTTTGTGTTTAGATAATAGACCATAATCCAGGTAGTGAACTTCCGAAAAGAGGAAAAATAATTACCGTGTTGACGGTGTCAATGACTGGCTTGAAGGTGGCAGCCAATTGAAGTCCAATACTTGAGAGTAAGTCGGAGATACCACTTCTCTTGTGGTGGGACAAATCACCAATCAGATTTTGAGCGGCACTTGACAACAATTTAGCTGGTTGTTCAATCAATTGTTTAAGGATGGAGCTCTGGAGAAGGTTGTGGCTTGCTACCACAGATAAAAAATTAAATTAGTTGGTCGTTTAATAAACTGTTTAGGGATGAGAAGGGCATGGCTTGCCTCAACTCAACAGATGAAAAGTAGTTTACATTTAGTTGTGATTTTCTCAAATTATTATAAATGGTGATAACGCGTTAACGAATTGGGGAAAATACAAACACAATACTTACAAACGACTTGATCAACGGCGTTCTTGAATACCTCCAATGGGTTTTTAAGGATATCCAAATTTCCAAATTGACTGGCAAGTCCGGTGATTTTGCTTAAGGCACCTTGGAAGAGAGTTCCGATGGTGCTTGCTACTTCGTGCACTTTACTTTCTCCATTTTGAATGAATTCCTGGATTTTGCTCATCAAACTAAAATTAGAAAGTATGATTTTTAGTTCTTATTTTTAGCATTGGCATCATTTCAACCCCCTTCCGTTGCTCAATTTCTTCAAATATATCTACTGGATTATGTAATTGAATGCTGATTTAGATCTATTGTATTTAATCAAGTGTAAATTCTAAGAAAGTATATAAATAATGGAATTACTTATGATATTTTAAAAGCTTACCCAAGATCTCGTGTGCCCACTGATGGTGTTGTTGTCTGACCACCTAGACTTCCCAATAGAGCTAGACGCAAAATAAAAGGAAAAATCATTTATCATATTTATGACGCTATCCTGAAAATCGTTAATTAAGTATGATTACAAAATTATCAAATGTTTTTGACAATATACAATACCTAATCTCTAACCAAACCTGTTGTCTATTTGTCTGACTGATAAACAGAATTTCAAGTCTAGGCCAGAATTCTCCAATGGAAATAGTATTACACTATTTTAGAGATGTAGATACAGATTGATCCACACAAACGTTTACTACATACCTTGAGCACCCTGGGCTAAGATCTGACTTCCAGTAGTTTTAAGCTCTTCAACCAGTTTACCAGCAGCAGTGCTCAAAAGTGGAGCTACTCCAGCGTAGACATTTTTCAAGGTTTCGCCGATTCCCTTGAGGGTTGTCTGGAATTGGTCCAAAAAGCCAGCGTTAGCTCCAGATAAAACGAGGGCAATAGTGAGAACAACAAGAACCTTCATAGTTGCTGATCTGTATGGATAACAAAAATACAATTAGTTTCCTGAAATTTGTTGACTATGTACAAAAATTGTAACAACCTAAACTCGTAGAGACCGAGAAAGGAGATAACCACAACAAAATACCCGAAGAAATACTTATTATGGGACTCAAAATCCTCCAATGTTATCAAAGTCAAATACACGATGAACGGATCCAACTTGCACTTCAATTTTATAAGATAAACCCTTCTTCAACACGTAAGCTAAAGCCTCGAAATTTCATACTTACTATACGATTGTGATTGCAGCAATGGAAGATATGCTGTTAATTCGACGCATTTAAAGGATTACGCGAGGGACACGTGACGTGCACAGCTGGGATTTTCCATATGATGTTTACTTATTTCCTTAGATAATCTCCCTAAAAAAATATGTCACCCGACATTTATCTGGTGCATGCACATGTTGTGAAGCAATAGTTTGAAATTTCTGTCTACCGGTCTGTTAAAATCTTAGAAGTACTCACGATTGTTCTTCTATATCTGCTACAAAATATACGAAAGCACATATGCTCCAACTATTTCAGGCTGGAAATGTTATAGCTTTCGTTTTCAAATGGTTAATAAATAACCTGACACGCGACTGTTATGCAAGATACGCCAACTTATTGCAAGAGATGGGCGGGGAACAGAAAAAGTAATAGGGTCCCAATGCTTCACATCGAATTTGAAAACAAAATCAGGTCAACCTGATTCAAGGTTTATCGTTATAATTTAATAACTCATATACAAGCTAACAAAGCTGTTTTAAAAGTAATGTTCTTATTGGTCAAGGCTTTTGCAAAGTTTTAGGAAACATTCCCAAAGTTATGTGGCTGATTGGTATGTCGTGATGTCATGGTGTCACCCTTCATACGACATTTTTAATGTGGTGGTGTCGGGTGAAAATGTCGTGATGTCAGGTTGTCGTGGTGTCTTGTTTTTACGCGACAATAGTACATTTTTAATATCGTGTTGTCGGGTGAAAATGTCGTATTGTCGGGTTAAAATGTCGTGGTGTCGTGATGTCGGGTTGTTGGGTTGTCACCTTATATAGGGCGACACCACGACATCAGGACAAGATACCAATCAGCCACCATACAAATTGGATACAATGAACAATGATCAAAATGTACAGTGTTCAATATGTTGATATTCTCTATCAATAATCTCCATTCTACAAGGAATTAACAAATACATTTTTTCAATAATGTACATTAAAAACACCAATATATATCTGTGTAAAACAAGTGTATTTCCTAAATAATTCAATAAGAATTAACAACACAGGCTGTATCAAACAAGAAATCGGGTTTTGATGTGCACATATATTTGTTAAGCTTCATCTGAGGGTCCACAAACTTTATACCTATTTCACATTTTGCGAAAAAAACAGGGCTACAATTCCACCAAAAGGCAGAGGACATAACTCTGGCACGAAAAATCCAATGAGTAGCAAATACGAACTCATCCAATATTTGTTGATGCCTAACAGACGTGCTAAGTTTCATCGGATAAAAGCCGTGACATGCTTTTACACTATTTGCGTAAATGGAAGTGGCCATTTTGACATGAAGTTTCGATCCGATCATCATTAAATGCATACTGAATCGTAAGCATGATGTAACGGTGATATTATTGAACTGTTTTGAAAATGAAATATAAACGGTAATCTTTAGAGGGTCCAAAAGCTAAAAACGCGATTTTTCCTGCAACCAGGATGCTAATCTAGGAGATTACGGTCCTATATGCGTATTATCGACGGGTACCGAGATCTTTGAGATATAGGCATATAGTTTAAGTTTCATCTACATCAGTTAAAAATGGTGACCTCAGCGGCATTTCCGGAATTTGAGAAAAAAAAGAGAAACAAAAGTAACCCATTCAACTCATCCTTTCCCGGAAAGTTAATATGGTCCATAAGATATAAATAATTTTATTGGATGACTGGTCATTTTTGCATCGGTAGTGGGAGTAATGTTTATATCTAGTCAAAATGTGCCCCCAAAAACGTAAGTAAACACTCAAGATTGGTCATCTGTTTCAAATGATCCATGGGCATTTGCAGTTAGGTTGGATTTATGTCTTCGTCCTCCTTGACACTGAAACATTGTTGTTCCATTGTTTGGTTGACATTATTATCAGACACCTGTTAACACGAAGGCAATTTCTGTCTATATTTAGTTGTTTCAATTTGAAGTTGTTTTTTTTAAAAAGTCAATTGGGGTTAGGTTTCTGTAACGCCTGTTTTCATTACGATTATCTACTGAAGAATCGACGGAGATACATTCACTTTAATATTATGTGACTATCCCTTTCCCATAAATTATAGGCCTGATGTCCATATGAAACCTTATAACAAAAGATAATGCTAGGCTAGAGGCCCATATATTTATCAGGTAATCTTCCATGGCATGAGTCATCTTATTCCAGGCCATGGCAAGCAGGATCCAATAATTATGTGTTTATTTATTCTTTCTTTAAAAGTTAAAACGTCCGTAAAACCCGATTGAGATATATTAGCGTTACTCTTCCTTTTAACTGTCATTCGAGTGAACATATGGACGCGTAAATATATGTATATCAATATTTGACATAAACTAGATTCTTACATTCTATAATAATGAAAGGGTAAAATTGTCGTAAGATTGAAATTCATCTAGTAGTTGCATCATTTGACTCAAAACCCCATATCTTGTCAAATCGAGAATACAGCATCAAGTGTTCTGTGTGGAGTTTCAGAAACCACCCCTTACTAATGCCAATAATAAAAAACCTTGATGTAACAAAAAGAAGAAACAAATTTGAAAATACTAAACAAATATTTTATTATTCTACTTTAAGACATTTAGTTTCCTCCTCCCAAAAGGGTACCAATGGTATCCTTGCCGGCTTGTTTGGCGGTATCAATGGCTTTTTGGATGGTGGGTTGAGCGTTGTGGAAGGTTTGTCCTGTAATACAATAAAACAATATAAATCATGAAGTAAATCTAATAGATAATTACGGTAGCATAGCTCTGCGATATATTTCAGAAAAATTTAGTAATTAAATGAAATGGCGTTACTCGTTACTTTGAGATTAACATCTAGATCACTTTCAGCGACTTCCAAACTGGCAAGAAATCTGCTGCACCCACTTCCGTGTTATTTAACTCATCACATCCGAACTCCTGAAAATGTGACCACTTCGTGAATCCTGTACCATAACCATACTTCTACAATTTCCCCTTGAATATTTACACTAGACAAGCTCTATATTACAATTTCTAAACTAAGACACTTACCAAGAATATCAGTAACAGCATCAGTGAGAGCACTGAGGGCATTCTTTCCATGTCCTAAAAGTTCAGTTCCGACTTGTTTCAAGTTGTTGACGTGATCGGTGAGTTTTCCAGTCAAAGCATCAATGGTGGGCTTGACGGCTCCGAAAAGAGCGGTACCGGCATTTTTCAAAGTTGCACCCAAATTGGTAATGTGCTACAAGACAAAAATAAAATAAATTGTAGCAAGCTTTAGTCTCAAATATGTCCTATTCTGTGTGTTCACTTTTCTATGGGCTGTAAACCCCCTATATGGCATTAAATATGTTGAAGATCCATTACGAACGTAATTAACATACAAACTTTTCACATCTAGATATGTATCAACATTTTAGATCCCTGTCGTATGTAACAACACATTTGACTGCTCTCGAATTGAGACAGTTTTCACCATATTACCATAAAGGCCCGTCCGCTTTATAATAGATGCATAACAGAATCCCAAATTTTTGGATATTACATAATATTTGATTACCTTGGTGACGGTATCAATGGCTGGCTTGAAGGTGGAGGCCAATGTTTGTCCGATAGAGGACAAAAGATCACTGATTGCACTTCTCTTGTGTCCCATTAGATGTTGGGCGGCACTTGACAACAATTTAGCTGGTTGTTCAATCAATTGTTTAAGGATGGAGTTCTGGAGAAGGTTGTGGCTTGCTACAAAAGATAAACGTTCACGATTAACCCTTTGTTTTGTTTTTCTATTAAAAATAAAAATTTGAAACTTTATGGATGCATAGCTATTTACAAACACCAATAAGCAAACAAGGAAATTCTCTTTTATTACTTACAAACAACTTCTTCGATTTCACTGATGAATTTGCTGATGGGTTGTCCGAAGAGTTGTGCGTTTCCAAGTTTTCCTGCTAAATCGGTGAGCTTGGCAACAGCACCGTTGAAAAGATTTCCAATGGTGTGGGAGAGAGTTGAGATCATACCTTCGCCATTCTTGACGAATTGGCCAACTTTATCAAGAAGACTGTAAATAATATAAAGCTAATGTGATTAGATAGAATAAGGACACTCTGCCTCGAAAATATCTTGGCAATTAGTTTTGAATTAAAAATTAATTTCAACAGACAGGTTGTACCTTAGCGATAACTTATCAATGGATACTGTGGTTAAAAACAAGTAATATTTCAGATGACAGAATTAGTTTTTGATGGTGTTGTTCTGTTATACTTACGCAACATCACGGGTGGTGGTTGTGCCTCCAGAAAGACTACCAAGAAGAGCTGGAATAAGAATGTGAGGAAGCCTACAGACGTATGTGATTTTAAATCAGTTCGGAGTCATTTCACATTAATGTAACCGTGTGCTAAATTGTACTAGAATTATATCTCTTTTTTAAGTCAACACGACAATAGGTATATATTGTGAGCAAGAACTCGAAGTAATTACCTTGTGCACCCTGGGCTAAGATTTGGGATCCAGTTGTTTTCAATTCTCCGACAAGTTTACTAACAGCACTGCTGAGAAGGGGCTTAACTCCATTGTATACGTTTTTGATGTTATCACCAATGGAACTAAGGGTGGATTTGAATTCATCCAAGAAGCCGGCGTTGGCTCCAGTTAAGACAAGAGCAATGGTTAGAATGGCAAAAAATTTCATCGTTGCTTTCTACAACAAAAATAAATAATGTGGTTACATTCATTGGTACTAAACTAGCTGGTTGTGGCAATGTGAATTACATTTGAATAAA